TTTTTATGTCTTTCGAGTCTATCTCATTTTTAGTTTTATTGGAAATCCAATTACGCACAAAACTAATTATCGAAATTATGTAATTTACAAACTAACTTCTGTCCGCGTCATCGACTTTAAACGAGTGAGACTAGCAGTAAGTTACGTTGTGTACAAGATATATGTCAGCAATCGTAATGCTGCACTGTGTCACAGGAACGAGAGGCTGCCATGAAAATGTTCAAGGGAAAGAAAGGACAAAAAGCACGTGAAGCTATTAAACGAAGCACAAACGCTCCTCCTGAAATTGAAAATGGCGAAGTTCCTCGCGTTAGTGGAACTGCCCTTACTCCTGAAGACAGGATCAAGATACAAGTACGTGTATCGCAGTTGCTTTGTGCGATTGCTTTGTCTCAGGGAGTTTGCATGCGATAAATCCCTCTTTGTTCTCTATTTTTCAGAATGCCATCGCAAGCGCACGATCTCTCGCGGAAGTCGAATACCTACAATCCGTGCTTGCCAGCGGACGCATCCCGGAAAAAGGCTGGAATAAGCAAATGCTGCTTCCTAGCGATCAAATGCCGATAACGCATGATGGAGGGTATGGATCTGATTAGTTTTGCGGATCGATAATATCTTTTCCCTTTAGATTCGTAGCTGAAAGTGAGGAGCAAGGAAGTCCGGATTTCAGCAGCGGCACTGTGGTAGAGACCAACCCACGCGATCAAAGTGGAAGTGATCATTCTCAGAGAAATGATAATGTCATAAATGGAAATGGACATCGTCAAAATCCAACCGAAGGAAGCGGTATGGAAGTAGACGCTGATTCAGGAACCCCTCATTCATAATCTGGTAAGCATTTTTAAACTTCTATACCAGCAGCACGATGGAGTATGACGGTATGTTGTCTTCCAATTTAGCATTGTAACTCTTTTTTGGTTTTATGCTTCATTTTTGTTAGCTTTTTGTCTATGCTTTTCTCATTCTTTCCAACGTATGCGGGGTAACTTCTGTCCATTTTCAACGCGCCGAGACAGAGATCTGCATTTTCTGTTGCTGGGATCAATGCCATCTCCGAAAGCATTTGAATTATCTGAAAAGTATCCAGTCTCAATTTCTTAAAGGGTCCTTTCTCAAGCCAATTTCGATCATAAATATGTATTTTTTTCTTGATTTGTGATAAGTATGAAGAATACTGCGTTGATGTATCACCTTCAAGCGTTGCAGAAGCAGTAAATTCTGATCATTCCTTATGTTTTGGAGGATGTCCCCATTAATGATTTGATCAAAGTCAGACTATAATTGATACTACTAAATTTTTGATCTTTTATCTGGCGATGTTTGATAACGAAAACGGTATCAAGTTGAACAGAAAGTTTGGGGATTTATCACATTTCTTTTGATTATTCACAATGCTTTATATAAGGCAATGCGTAACGGTTTGCTATAGGTTCTTAAGAGTTGCTTTCGCTAGCAGTCTTTATTCACAGCAGGAATCTATGAAATTAAGTTAGAGTTTATGCACCACAGCAGGTGTGGGGTTACTCCCTTTTGAATTTTCGCGCAGCTTTACTCGCTCTTCTTCATAGCGAGTATTAGCAATACCCTCAGTGTTACTTAATGCAGGTTATTTGTCGATGCAATCATTTTTAATGTAGAGCTACGTTATTGCGTACTTTTTATTCTAGCAGTAGGATCCAATGTCTTTAAAAACTCAATCGTCTCGCGTCTTTTTTAGAAGCATGCTATTTTGATCGAATGTGTGAAAATGAACTTTAAGCAGAGCTTCTGAATGACGTGACCGTCCTGCGGCAAAAACATATCTAAGTCATCTATATCACTTATTTCTACAGGCTAAAGAAGAAAATTACAGGCTACACATCTGCGCTTGTTTTCTTAGTTCGTTGTTGATAGTTGAAATGTCCAGTGTCATGTTTCATGTTCGTCGTAATATCATTCGAGTGTCGCAAATACTGAAGGATGAGTCTCGTACTAGCGTCAATTGCCATTATTGTCATCATGACCAAAAACCGTGATTTTTTTCTGATAGTATACCAAAAAAAGGGCACCTCCCTGTGCTTCAAAAAAGAAATTTTAGATGAAAATTCCTACCCTGCGACATCCCCAATGGCGTTCTTTATCGGCGCAAAAAAATGTTGATGGAAGAATCTGTTCCACTCTACCAAACTTGAAATCTCCTTTTATTTTGTCCAAACCTTGCCTAGACGAGTCATTCCAGATTCGTGCCGAATGTAAGGTCTTGCGGAGCTTACTTCGGCTAGGCGGTGGCGAATGAAATCCACAAATTTGCTTAAAGCTTTTTTTAGCGGGCAAAAGATTATCTGCTATGTTTACCACAAATATTATAGTCATTTTGCATCATCACTTCTTCAGCGTTATACATGTTGCGATGGGATCACTTTTCCGCTCCAGCTTAGGTTTTCAATCAGAGGATCAGTTCTTGCGCTTGCTATAACGAACGTAATCTAGCTGAAACGTGGCATTAAGTCTCGTATGAGCAAGTCAAATTCCTACTAAATCATTCACGCCGTTGCAGGATTTTGGGCACTATCATACTCACCTAAGCTTCTGTGATGTCTTACCTTACGGGTGGACATGAGATCTGTTTTTGCACGCGAACCGTAACCTCACTCTATAAGTAAAGAGGATGATTTTCGTGCACAACATTCCCCTCCCCTCCCCCCTTCCCCCGTCTCTCTCCTACCCTGCACCCTAAGCGAAGTTTGAGCGTCATCCACAAATTTGAGATTTCGGGTGAGGCAAAGAGAATAGCGCCAAAAAAAAAACCAGCAAAATTTGAATAATTAATGGGGCCGGCATGGTCCTTCATAAGTTTGTATAGCCGATTTAGCATGACAAGATTTTCGAGTAGAGGTTTGATATTGTTCAGTGTTAGTTATCATTTGCTTCTTCTGTTCATTTCCGTAGCGCATGGTTCCAGTGTAGTCTTCGTGCGAGTGTGCCTCAAAGATTTTATATCTTGTTCAGAGTGCACACTATTTAATTACTGTTTGACAGTTTACGTTAACCCTTCCCATAGTAATGATCTCAGACGAACTTTCTACCACAGAAGACCATCACTATCGAAGCCGCACAACTTCTCCTACTGGTGAAGGGTGGATCCGCCATCAGATTGTGCCTCTAAGATTTCTATTTACTACACCTTAAGATAAAGCTTTTTTCCTCTGAATAGACCATCTAAAACAAACGAAATTCTTTGATTTTTATGGGTTTTTAAGAAGGATCTATTACTTTTCATTGTTCGCTTCCATGTTATCTCATGAAACATCGTGACCCTTTATTTATGGTAAGCTTGGAGACCTTCCTTGTCACAACCTTTCTGACTGTTCAAAAAGTTCCATCATTCTTCATGAAGTTTCTTTTGATCAAAGCAGATGTAAATTTGTTCAATCTGTCGAAGAAACGATGTTGATATACCTCAAAAACTGTTTCGCATCCGAAGAGGAAGTTTGGATACCAACTTCAAAAATTAATATCCGATAGTGCATGACAATTTAGTGCTCTTTAACATCAAAATAACTCATTCTTTCTAGGTAAAGATATGGAGCAGCGTAGCTGTCATTGTTTAGTTTTTATGAACCGAAAACTCCCAAAGAAAAGGATATGACAATTCAGTACATTTATCGAACAGCTGTAAAGGATGCAAATGTTTATCAATACCGAAAGTGGCGGTATGCACTCCAGACTGTTTTGGATGCTGAACATGCTTTTGCTTCAAGTAAATCTCCAATTTTCGCAACGCTGGTGATGAGGGGAGGAGGATGCAATTATGAGACGCATCTATAATGAGCGCATAGAAAACCGTATTTTCTCCACAATTTTAATTGAAGTTCTTAGAAAGTAGAACATCACGTCGAAATGAATCGGTTCATTCAACTATTTTTTTTTTCAGGCAAATCGAGCAGGTCTTCTCATTTCCAATATTATTCCTGTGGATCACTCCGTTCAAACTCATTGTCTTTGTTTTCTATCGACTGTTTATTTGATAAGAACAGAAACGTTGGCTATTATAGAATTGTACTCTCATTGAAAATTCCGTTTTCTCTACGTTTCGTTGATGTTGGTCACTAGGCAGGAAGTGTTGTTATTCATTCGCTGTTTATCATATAAAATTTTCAAAATCTCAGTTCTAAAAACTCATTATTCTACGATTGTACAAAGGATTGTACAAGATTGAAAATTTTGCCATCAATTAATTGCATCAGATTTTAAAAGGTTAAGTGGGTCTTTTTTTTTTCTTTGCGTTGAATCGTAAGCCAAGATTGGTATAATGTCTACATGAGGCTCACGTTTCGGCTTGTACGCCTTCGTCAGAGCCGGGAAAGTAGGAACAAATGAGATGTACCCTCCCAAAAGTTTTCATCGTTTGCAGGAGAAACTCATAAAGTTGAACAAGTGTTGACTTGAAAGCCTATGAAAGACAGCTTACCTTATGACGTTGAAGAAATCAACCACGACCACCGCAGGCACAACGTTAGTGACTAATGAGTTTATGCCCTGAAGAGGTTTATATGCGAGGGGTCAAAACCCGCATAAGTCCATAAACGGGGCAAGTTCTTTTGTTACGGCAATGCATCCCTCTTTCC